AATGGCTTGTCTAGTGATGAATGCTGGCTTGGGGCCTGGAATATGAGAATATGAGGATGCTGGTGCAGGCAAGACATCAAGAGGAGTTTGGCGTGTTCATTCTCTGTAACTTTTTCCGGCTTGTGATCCCACCAGTTCTTTGTCGCAGGCAGATGGTATTTGTGGCACAAGTTCCAATGAATTGTAGTACATTATAATATTATATGTATGTATGTATGTATGTGTGTGTGTGTATATATATATATATATATATATATATATATATATATATATATATAAATATTATTAGCATAGCCCAGGAGACAAGGTGGAACTGTCTTCTGGCCCCCTCTCTCTTCACTCTGGCCCAGAGCAGCAGTTGGTGCTGGGTGGAGGGGTCCTCAACTGATCACATATGCAGGAGACAATCTTATATGTGTATACAGCATATTATAATAATAGCACAGCGCAATATTAGTATTATATATCTCTATATTGTTGCTGGGGGAAAGTACTCCCAACTGATGACCCAGGACACATGATGGAAATCTGTCTTCCTGGCTCGCCTTCTTTGCTCTGGCTCCAGAGTATCAGTTGCTGCTGGGGGGAGAGGGTGTTTTCTTGAATTTTATGTTTGTAATTTCTGTTGCTTTTAACACTGTACACCGCTTTGAATCCCACCAATGGATGAAAAGCGGGATAGAAATCCTCTGTGCATAATGAGTACTTTAAAAACAAAAGAACCAATGAATGAAATCACACCAAATTTGGCAACAAAACGTCTCACTACAAAAGGAGTGACCATCCCTCAAAAAATTATGATTTTGTCATTTGGGAGTTGTAGTTGCTGGGATTTATAGTTCACCTACAATCAAAGAGCATTCTGAACTCCACCAATAATAGAACTGAACCAAACTTGGCACACAGAACTCCCATGACCAACAGAAAATACTGGAAGAGTTTGGTGGGCATTGACCTTGAGTTTGGGAGTTGTAGTTCACCTACATCCAGAGAGCACTGTGGACTCAAACAATGATGGATCTGGACCAAACTTGGCACAAGCACTCAATACGCCCAAATATGAACACAGTGGAGCTTGGGGAAAAATAGACCTTGACATTAGGGAGTTGTAGTCACTGGGATTCACAGTTCACCTACAATCAAAGAGCATTCTAAACCCCACGAACAACAGAATCGGGGCAAACTTCCCACACAGAACCTCCATGACCAACAGAAAATACTTAAGGCCATCCAATCCAACTCCCTTCATCAGGGCAAGAAAACATAATCAAAGTCCTCCTGACAAAGAGCCATCCAGGAATAGATATAGATTCTTTTTTTGTCGTGTCAGGAGCGACTTGAGAAACTGCAAGTCGCTTCTGGTGTGAGAGAATTGGCTGTCTGCAAGGATGTTGCCCAGAGGACGCCCGGATGATTTGAAGTTTTTTATCATCCTTGTGGGAGGCTTCTCTCATGTCCCCGCATGAGGAGCTGGAGCTGATAGAGGGAGCTCATCCGCCTCTCCACGGATTCGAACTTGCGACCTGTCAGTCTTCAGTCCTGCTGGCACAGGGGTTTAACCCACTGCACCACCGGGGCTCCATGATCTAGATAGATAGGATTCATACACACACAGATATAGTATCATAGATTTGAAATGGACCCTTAAAGGACAATGATATCTTGCATGTTCAAGATTGGGAAAGGCATATGGCAAGGTTGCATACTCTCACCCAACCTTTTTAACTTGTATGCAGAACACATCATGCGATGTGCGGGGCTTGATGAATGCAAGGCTGGGGTGAAAATTGCTGGAAGAAACATTAACAACCTCAGATATGCAGATGACACCACTCTGATGGCCGAAAGCGAGGAGGAGCTGAGGAGCCTTCTAATCAAGGTGAAAGAAGAAAGTGCAAAAGCTGGGTTGCAGCTAAACATAAAAAAACCCCAAGATTATGGCAACAAGAATGATTGACAACTGGAAAATAGAGGGAGAAAATGTGGAGGCCGTGACAGACTTTGTATTTCTAGGTGCAAAGATTACTGCAGATGCAGACTGTGGCCGGGAAATCAGAAGACGCTTACTTCTTCAGAAGAGAGCAATGTCCAATCTCGATAAAATAGTAAAGAGTAGAGACATCAGACTGGCAACAAAGATCCGCCTAGTCAAAGCCATTGTATTCCCTGTAGTAACCTACGGATGTGAGAGCTGGACCTTAGGGAAGGCTGAGCGAAGGAAGATAGATGTGTTGGAGGAAAGTTCTGAGAGTGCCTTGGACTGCGAGAAGATCCAACCAGTCCATCCTCCAGGAAATAAAGCCCGACTGCTCATTGGAGGGAAGGATACTAGAGACAAAGTTGAAGTACTTTGGCCACATCATGAGGAGACAGGAAAGCTTAGAGAAGACAATGATGCTGGGGAAAGTGGAAGGCAAAAGGAAGAGGGGCCGACAAAGGGCAAGATGGATAGATGGCATCCTTGAAGTGACTGGACTGACCTTGAAGGAGCTGGGGGTGGTGACGGCCGACAGGGAGCTCTGGTGTGGGCTGGTCCATGAGGTCACGAAGAGTCGGAGACAACTGAACGAATGAACAACATCTTGCATGTTCCAGGGTGGGCAAACCAGACACTTTCCACATCAACACTGACAACGAAACAGCAAGAAATACTGTATTGTCAAAGGCTTTCATGGCTGGAATCACTAGGTTCTTGTAGGTTTTTTTGGGCTATAGGGCCATGTTCTAGAGGCATTCTCTCCTGACGTTTCGCCTGCATCTATGGCAAGCATCCTCAGAGGTAGTGAGTTCTGTTGGAAATAGGAAAATGGGTTTATATATCTGTGGAATGACTGGGGTGGGGCAAAGAGCTCTCTGCTGAAGCTAGGTGTGAATGTTTCAGCTGACCACCTTCATTAGCATTTGAAGGCTTGGCTGAGCCTGGGAAAATGTTCTGTTGAGAAGTGTTAAGATGTGCCTGGTTGTTTCCTCTCTGCTGTTTTGCTGTAGTAATTTTAGAGGTTTTTTTAATACTGGTAGCCAGATTTAGTTCATTTTCATGGTCTCCTCCTTTCTGTTGAAATTGTCCACATGCTTGTGGATTTCAATGGCTTCTCTGTGTAGTCTGACATGGTGGTTGTGAGAGTGGTCCAGCATTTCTGTGTTCTCAAATAATATGCTGTGTCCAGGCTGGTTCATCAGGTGCTCTGCTATGGCTGATTTCTCTGGTTGGAGTAGTCTGCAGTGCCTTTCATGTTCCTTGATTCGTGTTTGGGCAATGCTGCGTTTGGTGGTCCCTATGTAGACTTGTCCACAGCTGCATGGTACAAGGTAGACTCCTGCAGAAGTGAGAGGATCCCTCTTGTACTTTGCTGAACGTAGCATTTGTTGGATTTTCTTGGTGGGTCTGTAGATAGTTTGTATGTTGTGTCTCCTCATCAGCTTCCCTATAATCTACAAACCCACCAAGGAAATCCAACAAATGCTACGTTCAGCAAAGGACAAGAGGGATCCTCTCACCTCTGCAGGAGTCTACCGTATACCATGCAGCTGTGGACAAGTCTACATAGGGACCACCAAACGCAGCAGCATTGCCAAACACGAATCAAGGAACATGAAAGGCACTGCAGACTACTTCAACCAGAGAAGTCAGCCATAGCAGAGCACCTGATGAACCAACCTGGACACAGCATATTATTTGAGAACACAGAAATGCTGGACCACTCTAACAACCACCATGTCAGACTACACAGAGAAGCCATTGAAATCCACAAGCATGTGGACAATTTCAACAGAAAGGAGGAAACCATGAAAATGAACAAAATCTGGCTACCAGTATTAAAAAACTCTAAAATTACAACAGCAAAACAGCACAGAGGAAACAACCAGGCACATCTTAACACCTCTCAACAAAAGATTTTCCCAGGCTCAGCCAGGCCTTCAAATGCTAATGAAGGTGGTCAGCTGAAACATTCACACCTAACTGCAGCAGGAAAGAGCTCCTTGCCCCACCCCAGCCATTCCACAGATATATAAACCCTTTGTCCTAATTCCAACAGACCTCACTACCTCTGAGGATGCTTGCCATAGATGCAGGCGAAACGTCAGGAGAAATGCCTCTAGAACATGGCTCTATAGCCCGAAAAAACCCACAAGAAACTTGTATGTTACTTGTTTATGGAATAAAAACTGAACCTGACACACACACACACACACACACACACACGGTATCATAGAATTGAAAAAAACCCCTAAAGAAGGACAATTATATGTTGCATGTTCCAGAGTGGGCAAACCAGACAATCTGCACATCAACACTGACAAAGAAACAGCAAGAAATACTGTTTACCCACAAACATAAAGAAATTACATATATTAGAAACCAACACTTTCTCATTACTTTATTTTCCAGATCAACAAACTGGGCCACAGCAACGCGTGGCAGGGGACAGCTAGTAAATAATAAAATGAATGGATGCAGGAGCCTGCCTCTTTCCCGCGCGAAAAGGTGTGGAGCCCTGCTCACGCAGAGCTGGCCCACTTTTCTGCCTTGACAGGAATACCTCCCCAACACTAGAGGGCGACGCTCTTTCGTACCACAACGCTAACTGGTCCAGATAGCCCAGGCATGGGCCAACTTGGGCCCTCCTCCCTCCAGGTGTTTTGGACTTCAACTCCCACCATTCCTAACAGCCTCAGGCCCTTCCCTGAAGGGAAGGGCCTGAGCCTGTTAGGAATGGTGGGAGTTGAAGTCCAAAACCCTTGGAGGTCTGAGACAGCCTAATGGGAGACTGGGTGACCGCCTCTTCAACAGACGTCAACTCTTCAGGACTCCTTCCTTTCAAACCTCCCTCCCAACCTCGTTGAGTAACTTCCGCTCCCGTTGTTGACGCTGGCCTGGGTGTGGCCGCTTCCGGGGAGGGGAATGAGGAAGTTGGGCATTTACGCACAGAACGTAAGGTGACGCTTGACAGACAGTCGGGACCGGCCAATGAGTCGGAGGCGGGAAGCCGCGGAAGAGCCAATGAATGCGCGGGCCGGAAGCTGAGGAGCGGGTTGGGGGCGGGGTTAGCTCACTTGAGGGGAAAAGCCCAGGAATGGCGGATGGGAGGCGGCTGAGGTAAGTAAGGGAGGCTTTGGAAGGGCCTTCCGTGCGGCGAGGCCGTTTTAGAAGGCCCCGCGGATGTGGGAAGCTGACTCAAAGCGGCCAAACATAAAAGCATTAGCCTATAAATTAAAATATAGGTAGGTAAAGGTAGTCCCCTGACATGAAGTCCAGTCATGTCTGACTCTGGGGTGTGGTGCTCATCTCCATTTCTAAGCCGAAGAGCCGGCGTTGTCCGTAGACACCTCCAAGGTCATGTGGCCGGCATGACTGCATGGAGCGCCGTTACCTTCCCGCCGAAGCGGTACCTATTGATCTACTCACATTTGCATGTTTTCGAACTGCTAGGTTGGCAGAAGCTAGGGCTGACAGCGGAAGCTCACGTCGCTCCCCGGAATCGAACCTGCGACCTTTCGATCAACAAGCTCAGCAGCTCAGTGCTTTAACCCACTGCGCCACCGGGGGCTCCAAATTAAAATATAGTATTGTTATATTTACTAGCCGTCCCCTGCCTCGCGTTGCTGTGGCCCACATGGGGGTTCAGTGTGGGAGGTTTGGCCCAATTCTATTGTTGGTGGGATTGAGAATGATCTATGATTGTAGGTAAACTATAAATTACAGCAAATACAACTCCTGAATGTCAAGATTCTATTTCCCCCAAAATCCACTAGTGTTCACATTTAGGCATATTGAGTATTCGTGTAGAATTTGGTCCAGATCCATCATTGTTTGAGTCCACAGTGATCTCTGGATGTAAGTGAACTACAACTCTAAAATCAAAGTACACTGCCCACCAAACCCTTCCAATATTTTCTGTTGGTCATGGGAGTTCTGTGTGCCAAGACTGGTTCAATTCCATCGTTGCTGGAGTTTGGAAAGCTCTTGGATTGTATGTGAACTATAACTCCCAGCAATTACAACTCCCTAGTGTCAAGGTTATTTTCCCCAAACTCCACCAGCCTTCATATTTGGGCATACAGAGTATTTGTGCCAAGTTTGGTCCAGATCCATCATTGTTTGAGTCTACAGTGCTCTCTGGATATAAGTGAACTACAACTCCCAAACTCAAGGTCAATGTCCACCAAACGCTGCTAGTATTTTCTGTTGGTCATGAGAGGCCTGTGTGCCAAGTTTGGTTCAATTCCATCGTTGCTGGAGTTCAGAATGCTCTTTGATTATAGGTGAACTATAAATCCCAACAACTACAACTCCCAAATGACAAAATCATAATTTTTGAGTGATGGTCACTCCTTGTGTAGTGAGATGTTTTGTTGCCAAATTTGGTGTGATTTCGTTCATTGGTTCTTTTGTTTTTAAGGAACTCATTATGCACAGAGCATTTATATATATATAGATTTAAACTATGCTTTATCTCTCCTGAAGGAGGCTCAAAGCGCCCCTCATGCTTCTTCTTTCTCTTAAGGCTCATCCGCACTTGTAGGATTAAATACAGTTTGACACCACTTTTAAGTGCATTGGCTCACTGGTATGAAATCATGGGAGTTGTAGTTCACCTTTTCCCCGACAGAGGGTTGGGTACCTCCCGGAACTACAACTCCCAGGGTTCCCCAGCAGTTAAAGCGATGCCAGTAGGCTGTTAGGAATTGTGGGAGTTGAAGTCCAAAACGCCTGGAGGGAGGGCCAAAGAAGGCCCAGGTCTGCTTTATACACATAGCCTGAAGGTCATCTGTATATCATGTAAATAATAATATTTATTGTGTCAGAAGCGAGTTGAGGGTACAGTTGACATGTATTTAAAAATACAAACGAAGCTTAAAACTTGTCATTTTGCTAAATGTCCTTTGACCAGAAGTTGGCTACTTGGAGTGCCTCTGGTGTTGCTGTGAGAAGGTCCTCCATTGTGCATGTGGCAGGGCTCAGGCTACATTGTAGGAGGTGGTGTGTGGTTTGTTCTTCTCCACACTTGCATGTTGTGGACTCCACTTTGTGGCCCCATTTCTTAAGGTTAGCTCTGCATCTTGTGGTGCCAGAGCGCAGTCTGTTCAGCGTCTTCCACATAGTCCATTCTTCTGTGTGCCCAGGAGGGAGTTTCTCATCCAGTCTCAGCCACTGATTAAGGTGCTGGGTTTTAACCTGCCACTTTTGAATTCTTGCTTGCTGAGGTGTCCCTGTGGGTATTTATCTTGATCTTAGGAAACTGTTTCTTGATTTAAGCCATTTGCATGCTGGCTACTATCTGAACAGGGGATGAGCCGGAGATGTTCTGTCCGAATGTCAAGTGATGCAATACCAGCTAAACAGTATAATTTCTCCAGTGGTGATGGGCCCCTGGTGGCGCAGTGCGTTAAAGCACTGAGCTGCTGAGCTTGTTCACCAAAAGGTTGCAGGTTCGATTCCAGGGAGCGGCGTGAGCTTCCGCTGTCAGCCCTAGCTTCTGCCAACCTAGCAGTTCGAAAACATGCAAATGTGAGTAGATCAATAGGTACCACTCCGGCGGGAAGGTAACGGTGCTCCATGCGGTCATGTTGGCCACATGACCTTGGAGGTGTCTATGGACAACGCTGGCTCTTCGGCTTAGAAATGGAGATGAGCACCACACCCCAGAGTCAGACATGACTGGACTTAATGTCAGGGGAAAACCTTTACCTTTACCTATGGGGTGTAGGCATCCTGTGATAATGTGGCATGTCTCACTAAGGGCCACTGTTTTAACGTGGTGCAGTGTATTCCACACTTGGCATGTGTACTCAGCAGCAGAGTAGCAAAGCACAAGGGCAGATGTCTTCACTGTATCTGGTTGTGATCCCCAGGTTGTGACAGTCAGCTTTCGTATGGTGTTTGTAGCACCTACTTTTTGCTTAATATTCAAGCAGTGCTTCTTGTAAGTCAGCACACAGTCCAGAGTGACTTGCTCCATCAATGCTTAACATTTACACTAATAATAATAATAATAATAAAAAAAAAACATTTTTTTTATATCCCACCCTATCTTCCTGAAGGGACTCAGGGTAGTTTCCAACATATAACGCAAAACATTCAGTTGCCAAGAAGAAAATCATACAGACAGATAAAAAACAACATTAAACACCAACATCCTGCTGAAACACAACAAAAAAAAATTAAATTGATTGCAATTATAACCCCCATCAGATGAGGTTCAACAAAACCTATGCGTGGACTACAGAAGTGCTAATTTGTGCTTGAAACAAAGTTTGATTATTTATTTATTTATTTATGTTTATACCCTGCTTGATCTCATCTGAAGGGAACTCAAAGCGGCTTGACATAAAGCATCAGCATAACCGTTTAAAATAGTATACAAACATTAAAACAGGATTAAATATAAACTGTGTTTTTTAAAAAATTCCCAGTTAAAATCATTTAAAAAATTCAAAGTTAAAAACCATAGCACCCCCAAATTGATTTTTGTCTTTTCCTGCCACCGGAAGGAAGGAAGGATGGGGCCATTCTGGCTTCATTGGAACAAAGAAGGGAGTTCCAGAGTGGAGGGAATTTTGCACTGTGAAGGAAGAAAGGCACTGTTCTCTTTCGTTCCCACCAACTGAGCTTGAGATGGAAGTGGGACTGAGAGAAGGAAGGGCCTCTCCTAAAGATCTCAGAACTTGGGCAGGTTCATACAAGGGGATCCGGTCAGCCAAATAGCCTGGACCTCAACTGTCTAGGGCTCTAAAGGTGAAAACCATAACTTTGAATTGTGCCTTGAAACAGTCTGGCAGCCAGTAGAGCTGCTGCAGGAGCAACCTGGCTACAGAGCTTTGAACTAGCCAAAGTTTCCGATTGCATTACAGTTATCCAGGCATGGACACCATGGCCAGATATGGCTTCCCAAGGAATGGGCACAGTTGCTGTACAAGTTTTAATTGTGCAAAGGCCCTCCCAGCCACCTCTAACACCTGGACCTCCAGGTTCAGTCCAGGAGGACCCCTAAACCGTGGACATGTGTCTTCAGAGGGAGTTTGACCCATTCCATCCAGCGCAGGCTGGATCTCCATTTCCTGGTCTGCCTTCTCTCTGACTAGGAGTACCTCTGTCTTGTCTGGATTAAGTTTCTGTCCACTGAACCATCTGAAAGCAAAGATTTCTCCATCTCAGCCTCATCATGAGAACCAATTTGGATTCTGGAATATTTTGGATAAGGAAGGCTTAACCTGTTTGGATATTTAGAGGCTGGCAAAGATAGGTGAAATGGTTGCTTCCAGAGCTTGAGAAAATGTGTTGCTTGAAAAGGCCATATTTCTAAAGGAGGCTGGCTCTCCAAAAGGGAATAGAATAGAATCACTTTATTGTCATTGTACAACAAAATTAAATGCTTTCCCCAGCACACCTCACAAAACCAACACACCCACCCCTCTACACCCCAACCACCACAGCACAGACCATAATGCCACATCAGTGCAAAACCATGGAGTTCAATATAGCCACAACATAGGATAAAAGCTCTGTCTCAGTCTGTTTGACCTTGTCTTTGTCACTGTACAGTCTTCCAGTTGGCAATAATAATAAAAAAGAATATGCAGGGTGTGATGGTGATTTTCAAAGGGGAAAATCTTTGGGTTGCACCCAGACTTGAGTCACTCGTCATGATCAATGCGGAAGTTGATCTGAGTAACTGAAGTCCCGTTTGTTTCAGTGAGTCTGTTCTTTGACTCTTATGACTAAGTTGGGAGATAGCTGTTGAGAATAAAGTAGGTTTGTGTAGGGCTGGTTGATCAAGAAAAAATTTGGTTCTAAAATCGATTTGTAATTGGGGTGTTTTTTTGTTTCGATATTTAAAATAATTACAAAATTTCCCCCCTACAATTCGTTAATATTTACGAAAATTTCGTAAATATTAACGAATTGATTCGTTAAGATGGCGGACCCCCCGCGCATGTGCAAAATCACTTCCGAAGCTTCGTTATTGGCGCGGGGTCGATTCGTTAAGGGGGCGCCCTCAACTTGCTTCTAAACAAGGGGGATGGACTGGATGACCTTTGGGGGTCCCCACTGGGAGTTGAACTCCAAAGCCCTTAGAGGAGGAGGAGGAAGAGGAG